TGCGGCTCGTGTTCCCACAGCATTTCTCGTTCTCCCAAACTTCCACTCGTGTTTCCATAACTCGATAGAAACACGGTACATGTTTTCTATCTATAAACGAAAATAAAATAGTGGCATAAAAAAAATTTGCACTGGCCGGGAATCGAACCCGGGCCTCCCGCGTGGCAGGCGAGAATTCTACCACTAAACCACCAGTGCTACGTGCTCACCTACGGGCATTTTACTTCAGCTAAACTCTTTGCTCTGGGAAACGGGAACAGGTGCACAAGATGCAAGCCGTTCAAAATTGTTTAGAAAAAAACCCGTTGCCCAAAGTTTCTTGAAGCTGGTGAACAGTGGATCAAAGACAAAGACGTTCTGTATAGGTTTCAGGTCAACTGATCCTCTCTCGACTGTACATAAGTGTCCAGTTAGTTCCTACACTGTTGAAAAATCTCTTTGTTGCGTCCTTCCCCGCGGAGTTTCGAGCAAAAGAGAAACTAGTCGAAGTCTAACACATGCCGTCCCTTTAAAGGCGTTGATACAGATTTTTGGCGTTGGCGCTGGACGATTGCTCGCCTGGAATCTTCTGCGACCTGAGCTTTATATAGATGATAATGTAAAGTATGGCTATCAACACGAACGGGATTAAAATGAATAACATCACAACGGACACGAGGCGATTATAAAGAGATGAGGACTCTCCGAAGACTTCCTTCCAATACAGCGTACACGCCAACCCTCCTGGATCTTCAACAAGTTTGGAGAAGAGATATGGGGAAAAGGAAGCCATCGCGAAGATCTAAGTGGCGAGAATGAAGAACGGACACAGCTTTGAACTGATGAGTGGGGACCGAAGGGAAAATACCACAGCTCCAAATCGATCCGCACTGCTGTCAGAACCAGGCTCAGTGAATAGACACAGTAGTGGAAACGCTTGGTAAGAAGTAAACCAGTTTACATAACCCTAACCCTAAGTCCAGGCCAAGAGGACCACCGATCAGCCAGGATTTTATATAGAGAATTTGTATCTGCTGAGGAATCAAGAAAATCGGAGACAGCAGATCAGACATGGCCATGTTAACGATTAGAAAGTTGATGGGTTTTCTCAAGGTTTTGTCTTGTAAACAATTACTCCGATGAAAATGTTTCCAGCCAGCGAAACAAGAAAAAACAAGCAGCAAGCGACGGTTTTTCTTATTTCTTCTGCTGTATTATTGCTGTGGCAGCTTAATGGCTGTGTTCCATTCATGGTCGAGTTCAAGTTTTCCGACATGGTCGTTCAGTTTCTTTTTCCCCTTTCACGCTCACAAATGCTTGTTCTCCCGTTTTCGTCACTTAGTAACGTCACTCTATTTATTTTCTAGCGATGGCGGAATGCTTGTTCGGCTTTATGTTTATTTAAGACGGTTTCCCCTGAAAAGCCGCGCAATAAAGGCAAAACTAAAGTTACCAAAAACCTCATATACCTGTGAAGCACGGTAACTTTTAAAACACAGTTTAAAAGAATTTATTACGAATTTAGCTTTCAAGTGGGCCCCGCAAGAGAAAATTTAATTTGTAGTTGTCTATAATTTAATTAAAACGCCCGACGTTTCACGTCAGTTCACTGAAACGAAATAACACACGCTTTAAGACATTTAAAACTTTCTCGAGCGGCTTGAGCGGCTTGAGCGGCGCTTTCCGCCTCTTATTCCGCCTCTTATTTAAATTAAGACAGTACTATTTACATTTTCAGCAGGAACAGCAATCTCCTGTCTTGTCCCGTCTTTACAGTAGGAGACTGATCATAAATTTCAATATTTTAATACTGCAATATTTAGAGAGGAAGCTGCATCAGCCTGAACTGGTTGAGCGGGTCCTCTATCCTGGTCGAATTCGAATTTGGAGATGTTGGTTTTTGTGTAGGGAGGAAAACCGGAGAAAACCGGAGATAAACACTCGGCGCAAGGCGAGAACCAACAACACACTCAACCCACATATGGCACCGGGCAGGCATCGCATTGGTGGGAGGCGAGCACTCTCGCCATTACGCCATCCGTACTCCCCTATCATATAGCATTTCCAATCGAAGAAAACAAGACTGTTTCTCGTTCCCCGTTACGAGTCTCACGATAGCTTGGTTGATGCATCCGATGATTCATCAGTATAGTTCAATGGCCAGCCAATGGGCCTTTTAGGTTTTGATGACGTGTTGATCATGCACCACGCCAGCCAAGCCTATATTTGGGCTTATACTGAGTTTAAGTCCTCATGAAAAACATTGCACAACTACACGTAATGAATACATGAGGGATGGTACTTGCAACCGCCGCTGTAAAGTCGGCTTTGAAGGCTTAAAAGTTGGTTAAAAGTTGTCAAATTAAACTATCGATGGATCAAATTGTGCACCCAGCTATGTTGTAGATTAGATAGTCTTTAATTTGGGAGCACTGGCTTGACTCCAAACGCGAACAATAAGTTAATCGCCTTGCAAATGCAGCCCCTTCTCGCGAAGTACACTGGTCAGCGTAATTCTCATAAAAAGGTTACGATCTAACGAAATGCCTGACTGACTGATTGACTGAATGACGGACTGACTGATGGACTGCCTGACTTACTGACTCACTAACGGATGGACTGACTGACTGACTGACTGACTGACTGACTGACTGACTGACAAAGCAAGTGTTTTCTTCCCGTCAACTAACTCTTATAACATCCTCTTACCAGGCTAACACGCGTTACAAATAACTGTAAATGAGGATCCTGATAGCTTAGTAGATCGATACTTTTCATTTTGAGATAATGGAATTACACTATCTCCTAAAGAAATTCTTTTCATTCTCCGTCCCCACCCATGCCACAGCTAAGCCATTTGATCAATTGTTCCAATAGCAGTTATCAGTAAGGTTATCGAGCACATGTGTTGAACAGCATTTCTTAAAGCTAGTAACAAACTCAACCGCTTCTTTCGCTTGCTGTCTTCACTGATAGACGGTAAAAAGGGCAACCGTAGTGTTAGCGTGACATTAGTTACAGGCCAAATAGACCGCCTATTAATCTTCGTTGTTATCAGGGGTACCCAACGGATGGTTTCGGTAAATTATCTGTTCGGAAGGCCTCTAATCCCCTCTGATTTTCTAAAGAGAATTGTCACCTCGAACTTTCGTGATATGAGAAATTTAATGTCTGTTGTTTTCGGATCGTAAAAAAATGTTGTTTTGGGTACCGAAAAAAGGTCAGCTATCACTTTCGGAAAGACGATAAGACCTAAGGTTTTCGGGGAACGGACAAAAAAGCCTTAATAAATTCGAGAATACCCAAGTTCCCCTAGAATAAACGAACAGATAAAATTTTTTAAGCACAACCTAAAATTAACCTACAGAGCTTTAAAAGTACTCCAGATAGCCTAAAACAGCGTTTAAAAGCATTCGAGAGAAAATGGTCGTTGGGTGCCCCTGTGTTATCTCCATTTTTACAAATAAAACGGATCAATGCAGGTTTTTGGCCAAACGAAAAAATAAAAAAATTAAACGAGATCACCTTCGGAACAATAGTTGATAGTCTTGGTTTATCACCAGTGTAGCAGAGTTCAGACAACTCGTTCATTTGATTCTTTTCTAAAATGTGGGTCAATGTTACAATTTTGATTGGACACTTTTCGCGCGTTTCTAATGGGCTGGTTTGAAAGCCTTCACGGTAGCTCTCTAATTTCTGGAAGTGCCTGTTTCAAAGTGATCGGAAAATCCAACTGCCCCAAAGCATGACCTTTATCTCTCACCTCTAGCTGAGTTCAAACTTGACGCACTGGTTTACTTTGGATTGTATTCCTCCTTGTTCACTGTTGAAACAGAAGGATTTTCCAAAAGCTAATGAGCTCCGGAAATGCTGGTTAAGTGTGGTAAGTGGGTACATGCAACTTTGCCCATTAAGAACCCTTCTTTTGATTGTCTCTCACCGGAAAACTCTTTGTTAACGCCGGTGAAAATTTCAATTAATCGAACAAGCGCTATCGTTTTCAGAGGTGACAAGAATCTAGGACAGACGTTGTCACAGTGTCCTCCTAAGTTTTCGAGAAAACAAATTCGTGCGGCAATAATACCGTAGGTGGTGACCAAAGAGAGCTTGAAACAAAAGCGCCACTTTCTATTTTTAGTAGTGTGTTTTCCCGGGGGGACACACCTTGTAATGAGGTTCCCTCTAGACCTCACCTTGTACTAGAACACGAAACAACAAGATAACGAAAAGCTACACAATTTTGAGCCATTTCCCCAAGAGTGTCAACAAAGAGTGTAAATAAAGCATTGTTGTTGTCGTTAATTTTGTTAGGGGTCCGTTAGTGTGCCATACGCTACTGGACTTCACGCTCATGTTTGGATTGAGTTGCCAGACCAAAACGAAAAGATTTGTATGCGTTGCCTCAAAACCACGCCCTGTCCAGCAGCTCATAGGTTATAAAGCGGTGCAGAACGTTTAAAATAATAAACCCCTGAAGAGCGCCTTTAAAACAAACCCGACTAATGTAGGTATTATAATATCTCGGAGCGATTTCTCTAGTTTATGATAACTGAATTATAAAATAAAACCATCGGTGTTACTTCCCCCTTATAAAAGTGGCAGAAAAATCATGTTTCTCACTTGTCGGTTCGAGTAACAACAATTTCGTGGCTGAAGTAAAATTTCCCGTGGAACTATACATAAAACCTTGTCTGAGTCCATGTCATTAAAATAGGTTGTCAGACTATTGTGTCTGAACATGGCCAGAAAGGCAAACATTGAACATGTCACTGCACACGCAGGAATTAACCTACACGAAAAAAAAAAAAACATCTTATGGATGAGTTGTTCCAGGACGTTGGAAGCCCTCCAGAAGAGAAATTCTTTTCAAATTGTGCCAACTTCCAAGAGTATCGTACGTGAAGGATCCTGGTGCGGGTCATTAGGGCGTTAGACCAGGAACGCCGTTAGGTATTTGTTATGATAAGACTATCGCGCTAGCGCTTACTGCCCTTTTATAACCACGATAACATATCACTCTCCACCAATGAATGCAAATATATTCTCTAAACATTTTATCAGTTGTTTATTTAATATAACATTTTAACAAAGTATTCAATTTGTGTTTGTATAATCAAACAAATAGACACTTTTTTCTTCACGAATGTATAAGTGTAATGAAATTGTAGTATTTTGCTGACAATAAAATCCTCAATAACTCAACCGTTAAGAATTCAAAATCGTATTTCACGAACGTTGTATCTTAGAAAGGTCTGTGATAAATGTACACGAGTATATCCGTCCTTATATGACGTTAACGATTAAAAACGATTCGATACATGAGGCCTTCGTGGCTTAAAAAATCAAAAGTTGCCTTGGATAGCTTCCTTTTTGTCTAAATCTGTGTTTGAACCCGATGGACGAATCATTGAAACTAGTTGCCTCATCAGTTGGCCCAGCACCGACAACCATTGTGTGCAATATGTTCACATTCCGAGGATAGTCCCCCGTGCTTTGTACTTGATAGAATAGGTGATAATTTCACCGATAAGTGGCTTGTCATATGTGGATGAAAGATTTGAAATACAACTGTCCTGCAGTTCGTGTATCTTGGAGAGGTAAGGGCACGCTACTCGTAATCCTCCCAAATGTATTCCCCGAGGTCCAGGTCCAACAAGTTGTCTAAAAAAAAGGGCGGAAAAATGATACATCAATAAAAACATGAAGCAAAAACAAACAAATGCAGCTTTTACGGATTTTCTCTTGAGGCCTCCGTGATAAGAGATTGCGCGCTCGATTCAAGCCTCTTTACAGGCAAAATTCAGTCGAAAAGTTTTACGTTCATGCAGTGCGTAGATGATTTCAGACAGCAGATAATGCGAGGCGACCAAGGAAGGAAGCGATTAACTGGATAATCTTGGATGTTTACATTAACAATGAAAGGGTAGAATTATTATTTGTAAACATGTTTCAAGACGACAACGGTTATCTTTCTACACATCTTAAAAATTCCCTTCCTCACTGTTCATGGAATATTTGTGGTGAAAATTACGAAGCAGGAGCTGAAATTTCCCTTCCACTGAAATAATTTTAAAATAAAGGATGAGATATGTAAGATTACCAGACCTCCCAGAAACCTGAACTGATGACACTGATCCCCGTCCCACAATAATGGAGTGAGTGAAAAAATCAAGGTGTATACCTTCATTGTCAGAGAATGGTTCAAACAATAACTTTGGAAGACCTGCAAGACTCAAATTGTCGTCAAGGCTTGGGAAAGTTGGAATAAGCTCCTCGGTAGCGATTCTCTCCAGACCTTCAGGCGTCGTCTCCAGAATATCTGTCAGGCAGGAGATGTACACAGCAGCCAATCGGATGGTCTCTGTTTTCGAGGGCTTCTTCTCTCCAGGAAAAAGTGGAATTAAATCACGGAGTCTCTCAATGTGCGCGTTGAGAGTTTGCACCCGGCATCTCTCACGTGCATTGGCCATTCTCCTCTGCCGGCTGACTCCAGTCAAGCGAGGTCCTCGCCTCCTAGGTTTCTTTTTCCCTTGGTTGCTACAAGGCTTTGCTGTTATTGTGGACTCCATGGCTGGCTGCTGTGTAATGAGCTGCACACACAAGTGATGTGTGTTTTAACTGAGGCGTGGGTACAGTATCGCTAAACGAGCTACTTATCGCAGCATTCCAGGGCTTGGCTTGTCAGCTGGGTTTCCATTTTGAGCAGACATCAAAACGGAACTCATTTGACACTATTATATAAAGTCCAGAAACATAAACACATGATATTAGCCAAGATAACGCTCCTTTCGTGCTCCACGATGTAACGTGCGTGCATTTCGTGCTACAACCCTTTTCTTGCCCCCCATTCCCTAAAACGCCACGCAGAACAACGACTTAGTTTTCCTGTGATACTTTCTGCAGATATCGTTGGAGTCATCTAGGCCCTTTCTCCTTGTCATTTCAAATGAGAATATGTACCATTTGAGTCGTGCCTTGTGTGGGATCGGAGCTTAAACTCCTCCACAGTAATAATTAAAAAACACTTTATGATTTGTGATTATCGGTAGCTTATGACAATACCCTTGAACGTGCTGTTCAAGGACAACGATATCCCAAGCTTTTGGCGCTAGGTTTGGAATCACTTACATGTTCAACTACATCTGTGTCAACGCTTCTATAAACTCGATCGGAAAGACTGAGGATTTCTTTCTATCAGTAGTTGGTATCAGACACTGTCACGAAGCATCATGCCTGATGTTACACACATGCTACTACGTTTGCAGCTGACTTTTTGACCTTTCGAGGTTTGTTTTTTCGTTTTTGTTTTTTTTGCTTTCCGTGTTTATTTGTATTAAAAACACTAGGCCTAAAAGGACTCTATACAATCACGCAAAATTCCATCTGGGAAAATTTTCAGACTAGGAAAAATTCCTTTGTCAATTTAAATAAGACTGGTTTCCTGTAGGACAGTGCCACCAACCTTGAGGTTTTATGTGTCTGCTAAATTCTGAAAAAATTGAAAAGAAAGTATATCATGCTTTGAGTTTTCTCATGCGCGGGCCCACACCTGCAGTGGGAATGATACAAATTATGTTTGAATGGAGTTTTGAAAACTCTCGTTTGTAACAGTTTGTTAGTCGTGTTACGTTGCCCAATGCAACGAGCTCCCTCGTCAGTCCAAACGACTTCAATTCTAGTGTTTATTTAGCAAACTGCCAAGTTATCAATGCTATAGATGCAAGAGCTATCAGTGTACCTCAAACGAACGAAACTAGAGGAATTTTCTAACCCAACGATGAAAACATTTGTTTGAACATTCCGCTTAACACGTGTTCAAATTAACGATTTTGACTTTTGCCATAAAGTTCTAATTTACGAGAGTTTATCTCTCGGAAATGAACAATATCCTGTATCATTAATCTGAAAGATCCTTCAGAGATGTGTGTTTAATTAAGACTGCGCTCTGCGAGATTATTTGTTAGCCAAGAAACTCAGACTCGAGGAGCCAGTATTGCCCTAAACCAGATTCGCCGATATTGTGCTTCGATGCGTAAAGGTTGCGGTGCCTACAAAAACATTGATAACATTTACAGCTATTTTTACATTATTCCTCGCGGTTATGTAGCCAGAACATGCAAGCAACCAAATACGGTATTTCATAATTCTCTTGCTTTTTATTAGATAGTTCTGCCTTTTGTCGAGAGAAAAGATATCTGTTGAAAATACTCCAGAGAAAGGTGGGGGATTTTAAACACAAAGGAAAACTTTCCCATATTTATTACTGTTTCTAACAAGACGCGCCTTTTTTTTTTTTTTTTTTTTGCTTTGTTTTGCTTTGTTTTGTTTTGTTTTTTATGGATATTTCTCCCCAAACTTCGTAGCTAGCGAAGCTGGAATAAATTTCTAGAGTTGGCGTTGGACGAAATTTGACCAACGTTTTTGCCTCTTATCGCAAATTGTATTTCTTACCAGTTGATGTGTCGATAAGCTTTCTGCATTTGATTTAAGCCCCAGCAGATAAGAAACGTTTGCCAAGAAATCGCTGAGCGGCGGCTGAACAAAAGGCTGTGGAGCAATTTCGGGTCACCTTGGGTGTGGTCCAATATTTGTTGAACTCTGCGATATTCCATGGGCAAATATTAGAGGCGTTAATGTTTGTGATTTGTGATTGCTTTATTAATCGGCTTAATGTTTTATTTTTCGTCCACGCTTTGAATCCAAATCAAGCGATCGATTCAATGTTGTTCGCAATTTTGGTCTTTCAGTGAAACTTAGGTGTGAGTAAGTAGTATTTGAACTTTCTGTTCTTACTGGTTTCACTTTTTATCCCATCTTTTCGCTGAAAGGGTTTATGTTAGAAAAAGGATGACGCAATATGTCTGGACTGGCAGGATTTGAATGATCCAGCTTGGAAGTAAAGATGGAAGAAATAATAAAAAAAAAAAAGCAGCAAGGTAACCCCTAATTCAGTTTCCAACATGTTGGCGTCTTGTTATGTCCATGTGCCAGTTGAAATGAATTATGAGTTATGCCATCGTAATGAAGAACTCGATTTTCTGTCATACTATTATCTGCATATTATAAAAAAACTCCGTACCCGCTTCCTTACCCAAATTAATTACGGGTCGTTTGTAAAAGTTTTATTTTCGGAAACCGCAAGTGACATAAACTGTGGAAATGAACCCATGAAGCAACCTTTAATTAATATGCTATCTTACAAATGAGACAAATAGTTTAATTAGCGAAGATGGTAGCCTTTCAGCGTTATACGTTTACTGATGAAGAATATCCCGTCCCGTGCAGTCTTGTTATTCTGATCATAAATACCATGCTTATATCTTTTGCAAAATCGACAGAAGGCATATCGCACACAGTTTCAGTTTACGTTTAATTAAAACAGGCCAACACTAGGGTTGAGATAGATGTAAGCCCTTTAACTTAAAATAAACGATAAAATAAACAGAATCAGTTTGGTTTAATAACTGCTTGGCTAAAACGGTGTGTTGTTTACACGCGAAAAAATGGCCTCTTTCTGTTGTTGCTTTTCTTCGTTTTCTCCAACTAGGAATATATCTTATTCACGCAGAGTTACGCGGCAAGGCTAGGGGCTTCAGGCAAACCCTTGATTTCACTTAAATGAAGAATCACTGACGTGTGAACAAGTAAGCCTCATTAGCAAAATTTTCACGAAAGCACATTTATGCATCTTCTTTCGAAACTTTTCGTTAGTACCTTATCAGTGTGAAAGTACCCATGACCAGCGCTAAATGGACACTTAGAATAATGATTGAGAAGATCCAGTCAATCACGCGTGTTCTTTAGGCGAAAAGAATCAGTGCAAGCCGGTTTACCTGTGAATTGCACCATGTTGGCCAACGGCCGGAATACCAATTGATACAAAGAGAACAGCACGGAGTTGTGCTTAATACGCACATCCGGGTGATAGTAGTGTTTAAACAGTTATATGATAAATAAATAAATAAAACGAGAGCAAGGGCCGGTTAAACTGTCCGTACAGGCTGTAATTATGGAGGATTGTGCAACACGGGAAACTGAATAAGTCAAGGATTCTTTTAAGTCCATGTTAACGGGCAGATTCACAGTATACAGTAGATAGCAAACGAGGAGGCCTTCTGATATCAAGTTGTTGTCCTTTTCTGTCTTCGTTGTTTTTTAATCGCTTAAAGTGGGGCATCGATACTGTTTTGCTTAATCTTAGTTAAGTGCCGAATAGCAATGCTGACAAACTGCTAACAACACCAATATTTAGCCCATCCCCAAACACTTAGCCCCACGATCGAGTAAAATCCACTAAGGGCAATCAAACATAGCTGCATCCAACAGGATCCAAGTTATGTGCAGCGACAGCGGGGTCAGGTAAATCGGTGAATGCCATCGAACGCGAGACGGAGCCAAATTCAAGGAGAAAATGTCCAAAGAACCATTATTTGAATCCTGTCAAGTTCTGTGGTTTTAGACTTTTGGAGATTTTTTACTTTATGATGATAATAATGTAATTTTGGTGCCTTCATTATAGGAAATAACTGTGGGAAGTAAATGTTTACAGCCGATACGTAAACTGACAACCGCCCACGTTATTTTGAACCCGTCTGCACGGGAGGTTTTTGAATTGCAAACAGTTTCTAAACGTGTTCAGTTTTCAAGTGATGCAATTAACCAGAAAACCCAATCGACTTTCAAAATGAAAACTCCATCAGTTCGAGTACACCTGAGAAATTAAGAAAGATACAAATTTTTACAAAAACATAGCACTGCCGTAAATCATAGAATGAATTGACCCCCGCCATGCGCTCGATGGTAGGGAATTTAGTTGAATCTCATAAAATAATCCGGCACTCGGATTTTAGGATATGTTAGTTAAGTAAGACACGCTTATCTCGTACATGGGCTTAATCAAATGACAAGGGTGTTGGTGTCCAATCTTTACTTTATTTGTGAAAAAAAAATGACCAATCTTTTTGCTTATATTTGGGAGCTAACTGCAAAATACAAGCGTAGTTTATCATCATAAAAAGTCCTGTTGATATAGTGAACTTTCTCATGGTGCGGTTCCCCTTGCTTGGTCGCATCGAAACATTATTCCTTCGGGTATTCTCTAAGAACCATGCGGCAGCATAAGTTTATCTCGAACACGTAGAAGTTGGTAAATATAGACGACTTAGTTTACTTTATACTGTTTACTTAGCTTTCACTTTCCCACGCGCGAAGCTTGTTTTTATGATAACTTGTTTGAGTAAGATGGATATCATTTATTAAAACAGTCAATAGTTATTTTAAAAAAGCTCAACACTACTCTCGTCGGATAATTTAATTACTTGCACGCTAATATGTAAAACAACTTCAGGTTTGAGAGAAAGTAAGTGGAAATAAGTAAGCTATGTCCTAATATTGAGACCTCAGGGGTGGAAGAAAACGTCAACAGGCTGCGTGATAAACAGTAACGACTTCAAAATGACGAGGTATTTGATAACGTTGATATTTTTCACAGATCACTGGATGGTACATTCCAAGCACTCAAGAAACATTAGGCCATCCAGTTTTTCTACTAATGTACACTTGATACTCTGGTTACATTTTGAACTTTCAATGTTTTAAAATACTGGTGATAGCTCGCTGCCAGCGCTGCCACTTAGTTCGTCCTCTTTCCAAAAGAAAACTGCCAGTTCTGTGACAAATTAAACAAAGAGAGCAAACAACCTCAGTTTCTAATTATCTTCGATATCAAAAAGGCTTATCTCACTCTGGTTAAATTGCTTAAGAGTTGAGCAAGTGAGATATATTTTAATTATAAAAGGTGTAGTGTTTCCTTCATGGAGCAAATTCTTCTCGTAAATAACGCTTTGCAAACAATTATAATTTTGCCATAAAGGTCCTGTAATTATTGTTACCAATTTGTTGTTTCTTAAACGAGAGGTTTCACTCTAAATGATCGCATGTCAAACGTTCACGCCAAAAAAATAAATCACATAATTACGTTACCTCCCGTTTCGACGTCGAACGGGTCGAACTCCAAAGAAGTTACTGACATGTCCTCATCCAAGCTTTCTCGTGCCACCATTTGATGATGATCAGGGTTTTCTATGGCTAAGAGCTCTGTCATATGCGAAATGTAAAGAGCTGCGAGCCGGATTGTATCCGTCTTGGACGGTCTTCTCTCGTTCGGAAATAGCGGAATGAGATCTCTCAAGCGATCTATACTCTCGTTGATCACATGGACACGATTCCTCTCCCGTGTATTTGCAATTCTTCGCTGCTTGCTGAGACCAGTCAACCTGCGACCACGCCTCTTTGTCTTTTTCTTTGCAGTCGTTGTTCTTGGAGTCTCATCCTCTGCTACTTCGCTGTCCATGTTGTTGCCCGTGCAACGTACATGTAATTTGCTTTAAAGTATCTGTTTTCTTTTAAAACGAAGACAGCGCTTCAGCAGCCAGATTGTTGATCACTATCGCCGGGAAGGCATTTTTAAGCTATTAACCACCGTGTCACAGACGTCATAGCTGGAGCCTTCTTGACTGCGGCTCGATGATATTATTATCTAATAATTGAAATTGCTCTTTCGAAAAGAGAAAATAATCCAGTTATTGAATCTGCCCATTTTGAGCATCAATCGAAACTCAGTGGGCGATTTGAAGTCGTGCAGTCATGCAGCCTTGATAAAAATCTACTCGCTCAATTCGTAATCTAAGCAAACATACCTCAAGGGGTCAGCAACGTTCACAAGATTGCCTCCGCGATACTTGATATGTTCCTTGTAGCTGGGTGTCACGGAAGTGACACTTAGTGACCTTCTATCAGCAGCTAATCCAGAGAGTTACTCGAAAATAAACTGTGGTGTGTAACGACACTGACGTAATCTAATTGCTCCTGCGTCAGAAGTTTCGAGCTTTCTTGTTTCTATAGGAACAAGGCTGAATTTTCATCTTGAACTTGGAGCACGATGCCAGCCCCTTTCAGAATATTGTTTTAATTCCACTAATTTGTAGACGTAATAACATAACAAACGTGTGTTTTATCGTTTTAATATTTCTAATAATTTTCATTAATTTAGGGCAAAGGGGAACTAGGTGGGCAGGGATTAGGGAGAAGAGATTGGGGTACGTGATCACACCACCGAAGTCTGGATTTCGTTCCTGTTCATCTCGACTGGATTGAATGCGGTATTCAGTTGAATGAGCTATTGTTCAAGCTTAGCTAGAATAAATCTCACAATATTAATAATTCCAAATTAACAGTCGATACTGCTTCTCAACAGGGATAAAATGCTTGTCGGACTCTTAGAGGAAAGGCATGCTGCAAACAGTCAGCATGTACTAGCTTTTCCTTTGAACATGCAATGGACTGGTCTGCTAAGACGCATAGAAAGTTCTCTCAAAAGTCAAGGAGCTGGTCCATGGAATACATAGGATCTAGAGTATAAAACGAATTACCATTATCGTCGCGTCCGGTCTCCAAGTCCGTTATCTTCAAGTGGTTTATCTAAGCTTCTTACTATCTCAAACAAAAACCCGCTTTCTGTAATTTTATTATTTCTCTCTTTTTTTTTTTGTGGTAACTCTCTGTCATGGTCGCTATGCAGTCTCCAGCATTCGCGGCTATTTTCGAACTCTGGCGCGCTATCTCGAACCAAACATGAAGGCCCCCCCCCCCCTAACTTATCTTGAGTGAATAGACCTGCCTTTACAAACTGGTGTAAATTGTTTTAGCAAGATACCGACTTCTAAGGCCCTGGCATGTCTTCAAGGAGCAAGTGTAGTGTTATCCTGGCTCTACCGTCAACAGCTAGGCCGAAGGAAGGTCCAGGATTACCTGACAGGGATCAACAAGCTTCAAGTACATAAACCTAATAATAATCGCTTTGGCTTAAAATCAGTAAAATACTCAGTGGCCGTTACTTGGAATAACATTTCTGACACCTTAAGATCCTTGAACACAATGTCACCGTTTTACAAAGCTGTCCGCAACCTTAGGTTTTAGTTTGTAAATTATTTTTCTATAGGTTAACATCACTACTATGGTTATATCTTGTAATTTAGTCTATTTTCTCTTTTTTCCTCCTCTTTAATCTGAATTTTACTTGTCCACTATTCATTTCTCGGTAAATTAGCATATTCTATTGCTAGAGGCCTTATCAGCCTCACCAACCCGAGTACAAATAAAGCTGTTATGTATGTATGTATGTATGTAAAAAAGTAGGTAGGGGTACCAACTCAGGCAACGAAAATTCATTTTAACACTAAACTAATAGGCCTTATCACGGTTCTCGACGCCATCTTGGAGGGTCAGAATTTAGAGCATCGTATGGCAAATAACTATTTCTAAATATTGATTTTGAACAACTTATGAATCGCAACTTTACCATACTAGGTAGCAGACTGTGTTCACCAAATTTGAAGGACCTAGCTGGGCTAGAACACGTCTCAGTTAATAGTTATAATTTCCCATACATTCCTGATTTGTATTTTTTTTTCCTGCGAACCGCGTCTACCCAGCCAAATTTACAAACAAATGTATGGAAAATTAGAAAAATCAACTGAGCGTCTTCCAGCCAAGCTACATCCTTCAAACCGTGGTGAATACAATCTTCTACCTAGTATTTTAACGTTGCGATTCACAAATTTTAAATTGTGTAAAGTACAATTTTTGAAAACGTTATTTGCCATCGAATTCCCATACAAACACTGTAACTTCTGACCTCTTTGCCTACCCGTCAAGATGGCTTCGAAAACCGTGATAAGGCCTATTGTAGTTTATCACTTGTAGTAAAATCATATTCCACTTACTGAGCCCACTAAAAATCCTAAAAAAAATAGATATTTTTTCCTAAGTTTGAAACGCACTTTGAATGCCAAACAATAAAGTTATGGCTATCCAGTGTTATCGATTAGCAACATAATCAATGAAACAAAGTTTGAATGGACGGAATGGCTTTTGGTCAGAGGCGTAGGGGAATCTTAGGACTTGGGAAGGGGGGGAGGGGAGGGGTGAAGGCGGTGACCTTATTGCCCGAAAACAAATACACAATGCCCGAAAGCGTGAGTGTTGTTCAAACGCGCTCAAATTGCAGTAAAAACAAAACCACGATTCTCGCGTCTAATGAAAGTGTTATCATTCCAAAAATAGTTATTTTGAAAGCTCGCATACCCTTTGACCTCGATCGACAACCAGATCAACAGTTAATTGTCTTAATTTCTGTGAAGTAGCTTCCTGTACACGTTAAGTAGCTTTTCAGCTAAGCGGAGTGGTCAAGATTAATAAAGAATTACTCAATTACTTACTTACTTGTTCGTGCGAAAAGTTCGAGAAAATTCTAAAACGGCCCTTTTTGGAGCCATTCCAAACGACTTTTTTCAGAGCCACCACAAAATCAAAAGTCTTGGTCTTCGTTTGCTTTGGTTCTTTTGTCATTGTTTTGTTGATGGAAATAACGTCCATCTCGTGGATTTCTACGATACACGTTTAAACGAACAGAACAGAATAACTGGATCGTTACATCATTTGACCTTAACTCCGTTTTGACAAATCAAACGTCAGAGAAAGTATAGCCTACAAGCCTGGCCTTGACAACCTTTTAGAATGTTTTCTCCCGAGTACTTTTACCCGAATCATCAGCGCTTGGCCCGAAAAAAATTCAAGAATTTCTGAAATGGGGTCTGTAGCCCCCCCCCCCCCACCCCTGTCCCCCAGCCCGTATGCCTATGGCCTCCTAATCTAATTACAGAAGCCGTCTAAATAATAGCTCTCTGTGGCAGAAAAATGACCAAGAAGTAATAAAAAAACAAAAAACATAACAAACAAACAAACAAAAACAACAAAGAGGAACCTAAATGGTTAAAAGTGGGAAAACTGCGATGAATTATGAATGACAATGTGGAAAATGTAGGCTAAATTGTTCAAGAAGGAACTTCCTTACTTCGCTCAGCTAGTTGTGAAAAAATGATTTCTCATATAGTCCCAAGTCGGGGGAACTGAGAAGGAGANGGGGGGGGGGGGGGGGGGGGGGGGAAGGGGGGAAATTGCAGCCCCAAGCACCTCCTTGGCCCGAACGCCAAGAGTTTTGGTCAGAATTCGTTGATTTTGTCTGTACTGATTTTGTTCATATTTAAAATGAAGCTGTCTCGGCTAGGACAAGTTATCCCGAGCAAACCTTTTTCTTGGCCTCGCACAAATTATTTTGTGATGGCTTTTTGAGAGGTGGATTTTCTACCTTGAACTTGGAGCCCGATGCCAGCCCCTTTCAGAATATCGTTTTAATTCCACTAATTCGAAGACTAAATTCCTGTACATGACATAACAAACATGTTGTTTTATCATTTTGATAATTCTAACAATTTTAATTAATTTTGGGCAAAGGGAAATAATTAGGTGGAGCAGTGATTAGAGACTAGAGATTGGGGCACGTGAAAAAATTACAGTCACACTACCCAAGTCTGGATTTCGTTCCTGTTCATCTCGTCTGGACTGAACGCGGTATTCAGTTGAATGAGCTATTGTTCAGGCTTAGCTAGAATAAGTCTCACGATATTAATAATTCCAAATTAACAGTCCATACTGCTTCTTAACAAGGATAAAATGCTTGTCGGACTTTTAGAGTAAAGGCATAGGGCAAACAGTCAGCATGTACAAGCTTTTCCTTTATACATGCAATGGACTGGTCTGCTAAGACGCCTAGAAAGTTCTTTCAAAAGTCAAGGAGCTGGTCCAAGGAGTACATAGGATTTAGAGTATAAAACGAATTACCATTATCGTCGCGTCCGGTCTACAAGTCCGTTATCTTCAAGTGGTTTATCTAAGCTTCTTACTATCTCGAACAAAAACACGCTTTCTGTAATTTTATTATTATTATTTTTTAAAATTTTTTTTTATTTTTTTATTTTTTTGTGGTAACTCTCTGTCAGGTCACTATACAATCTCCAGCATTTGCGGCTATTTTCGAACTCTGGCGCACTGTCTCGAACCAAACATGAAGTTCCCCTCCCCCTCATTTACACCTCTTATCTTGAGCGAATAGACCTGCCTTTACAAACTGGTGTAGATTGTTTTGGCAAGGTACCGACTTCTAAGGCCCCGGTCTGTCTTCAAGGAGGAAGAGTAATGTTATCCTGCCTCTACCATCAACAGCTGGTCCAGTGGAAGGTCCAGGTTGACAGGTCCGAAAAATCTGAGAGGGATCAATAAGCTTCAAGTACATAAACCTAGTAATAATCGCTTTGGATTTTAATCAGTAAAATACTTAGCGACCGTTATTTGGAACAACATTTCTGACACCTTAAGATCCTTGAACACAATGTCATGTTTTACACCGTGCGAGATTTGTTGTCGTAAATTCATTGAGGATCTTTAATGTATTCGAGCTTAGTCGCTTTCGCGATAGTTTCCCTTGCCATGTGTTCGAGTTTGCATGATTCTGCTGCCATTTAGGTAAATGAGTTTCTGTAACTTTTCAGTACTGAAATCTTCATCGGACTAAAACAAGTTATCCCCGTAATCGGCTTTAGACTGAATTACTTTGATCGAGCCCTGTTGTACCATCTGTACGAGCCACTAGGGCTCCTAATAACGACACTTATTGTTATCTCTTAGTCAGTACGCGCGCTGTGATTGGTCAATTTAGCGGGCCGTATTCTGTTACATTG